AAGAAAGACAATTGTAAATATACTCCTAATTCTGGCCAAGAGGATGTTGATCAAGATGGAATTGGTAGGAACAACTTTCTAAACCTATTTTCAATTAATATAATGTTATTATACTAATACTTTTGTATCAGGTGATGTTTGTGATCCTGACGCCGACAATGATGGAGTGTTGAATAATCCAGATAATTGCCCACTGGTATACAATCCTGATCAAAGGGACTCTGATACTGGAGGACCTGACAGACAAGGTAATGGATTGATATCATATTTTAAATCATTTCAACCGTTGTTTCCATTTATATATGATAAACATGAGTCTAATATGTCTGATCTGACCAAAGCTTTCTTATGACGTTATCATTTTGATTATTTGATTCAGGTGATGCTTGCGATAATTGCCCAAATGTTCCAAACCAAGACCAAGAAGATACTGATAAAGATGGTTTGGGTGATGCATGTGACGACGACATAGACAACGATGGTATCAAAAACGTCCATGACAACTGTCCAAAAATTCCTAACAGAGATCAACTGGACACAGACGGCGACAGATTTGGAGATGTTTGTGATAACTGTCCAACAGTATCTAATCCTGATCAATCTGATATTGATAATGATCTGATTGGAGACGCTTGTGATAGCGGTCTCGATAGGTACTGATTTTAATTTGAATTATATTACTACGAATATTGATTCAGAAATAATGTTCTTTATATATTTTAGAGATCGAGATGGTGTTCAAGACAGCATCGATAATTGTCCAAAGATTGCAAACAGTGATCAATTGGATACCGACAATGATGGAAAAGGTGATATGTGCGACCCAGATGCAGATAATGATGGAATACCAAATGAGCATGATAATTGTCCAATTGCTTATAATCCTGATCAACAAGACGCCAACTCAAATGGAGTAGGTGATCTTTGTGAAGATGACTTCGATATGGACAGCGTGCCTAATTACCTTGACAATTGCCCAAATAATTCAAAAATCTTTTCAACCGATTTTCGAACATACCAGACTGTGGTCTTAGATCCAGAAGGTAATCCTAATATAAATCTAAAATAATTGATAGAATTAAAATTTAAAATCATTTAATATTGCTTTTTAGGTGATTCTCAAATCGATCCTAACTGGGTTATTTATAACAAGGGTGCTGAAATTGTGCAAACAATGAACAGCGACCCTGGATTGGCTGTAGGTTATCATAGTTTTGGCGGCGTTGATTTTGAAGGAACCTTCTTCATCGATACAGAAATTGATGACGATTATGTTGGTTTTATTTTTGGGTACGTTCTATTTTAGTTAATATTACTTTATTTATGCAATCTTGTAAATTTAAAATATTTTTATAGGTTCCAAGATAATCATCGCTTCTACTCCGTCATGTGGAAGAAGGATACTCAAACCTATTGGCAGGCTGCACCATTCAGGGCTGTTGCAGAACCTGGAATCCACATCAAACTGGTCAACAGCAAAACCGGTCCAGGTGAAATGATGAGAAACTCCTTATGGCATACTGGTGATGTTGAAGATCAAGTGAGATGATATGACATGGAAAATCTTAATTAAAAACTTGTTTTGTGAATATTAGCAACAAACACAATATTTTTAGGTGAAACTTCTTTGGAAGGATCCACGAAATGTAGGTTGGCGAGAAAAGACAGCTTATCGTTGGTTACTTTTGCATAGACCTAGAATTGGTTTGATTAGGTTAAGAATATTTGAGGGAGAGAATATGGTCACTGATAGTGGCAACGTATACGATTCTACTCTGAAAGGTGGAAGACTTGGTGTTTATTGCTTCAGTCAGGAAATGATTATCTGGAGTGATTTAGTATATCGCTGTAATGGTAAGTTGGCCTATTATATAAATAGTTTTGATTTATAAAATATTATCTCAACGATTTATGTTTTAGATAATGTGCCAGAAACGATATACCGCGAGTTACCACCAAAACTTCGACAATCTGTTTTAATCGATAACAGTCACGGATCATAATATCGAAACAGGTTTATTTTAAATTATAATTCATTAATATTAAATTATTAGTTTTAAAATGATTAAGTCAAATACAAATAAGTGGGATATATAGCTTTAACGTTATGACTAAAACATTATTCGAAATAATTATAAAAAAGATTTATATATTTGATGTTGCATTGCAAGATTAAATGCTCACAACTGCGTGGATATACTCATATTATATCAAATTAGTGTAACTTATTTTTAAGTACTTATATGTTTAAATTATAATATTTTGAATATTAAATTAAATTTAAAAATTATTTAATTTTCTATATATGATATCTATATATGAATTAATAATTTGTTTATATTCTAACTTTGAAAATCTATTCTCAGCGATTTGGTGCCTAAGTGATTCAAAGTAATAAAAGTAAGTAATTTAATGTTGGACAATAATTCTATTAAGGAAAAATTTTTACATTGCGCTAAAAATAATAGACAGCAATCAATTTTCAATAATAATTTATTAACTTTCCTTAGGACGCCAACTAGGGTAAGTTACAGTAATGGGCCAAAAATTGAAAATGATTATTTTTGCATATCTTCACGTTTTAGTAGAGATTTTTGAACATTTTGACATACCTCACGATCAGAAAAATGAATGTTTGTGTGTGTTTGTATGTGTGGATACAATTGTTTATCGATGTTTTCGGGAGTACCATTGAACCGATTTAAATATTTGGAAAAGCAATCAATTTCTATTGATAAGGAGATGTGCTGAACAGTTTTTGGCAAAGGCAAGTACAGCCGTTACGGAATAACAGAGCAAAGAGTGCAGAAAATCGAGTTTTTGATAGAACGGAGCATCCGATTTAAATAATCCAAAAAGCATTCAATTCGTTATGATGGGGAGAAGTGGTGATTAGTTTTTGGCGAAGGCAGGTCCAGCCGCTTTCAAGTTACCGAGCTGAATATGCAAAAAATTGCAGTTTTTGAGAGAACTAAGCTTCCGATATAAATGATTAAAAAACTTTCTACTTGTGTTGGCAAAACAATTGCTTTTGGAAAAAAAAATTGATTTTGTTTTTCACATTTTTTTTGTATATTGAAAATAATTCAAATTTTAATTCTTATAAATAAATAATTTTAACTTTGTAATTCAGTTTATATAATTCTTATAAATAATAGTCAATGTTACAGTATTTATATTAATCTATATGAAAACATTTAATATTCCTCGAATAATTCGTTACGGTACGGGAAGTTTCAGAAATTTGCCTTTAGGCACGATCTCATACACTACTAGTTTATTTAAATTTGTTAATTGCGATTTGTTATATTATATTTTGATGGTATCCCTGAATAATAGTATTAAGTAAAACATGTCTTCCATAATTTTCCAGATTTTTATTTATGGCAGTAAAATTACAATAATATACGATATATATATAATTAAAATTTGTTCCATATTATATACATAACAAATAATAAATCTCTGATTTTGTATATTTTTATCCTATGAGAAAATATTTAATATTTTCTTCATAGCTTTTAACAATATTCCAAAATAATTACATCATCTGTAATATTTTCTAACAAGTTAAAGTATGAACGCAATGAGCAATTTAATAACCAATCATAATTTAATTATGATTTGTTCAAAATACGTAGTTAACAAATTAATTTGACAAAAAAGCGTGTATTTTAAAGTTAAATTTAAATTACTATTGAAAAACATTATATACGTTTTGTACAAACCTATTGACTAGGGGTGTTATCTGAATAATGAATGACATCAATTAATTTATGAAGGGATATATCTACTTAATCTGTCTATATTAATGTTTATGTTTGCACTGAGTTTATTAATATTAGTTGTTTCTAAACATGAGAATCATTCGTAATTTGGCTTGTTAAGAAGCAAAAAGTATATCTAAAATACGTTATTTAAAAAATTACAACAAAACATGCTTTTACAATGTTAGCTAAATTTTCATCTTTAAGGTAATTTATTCAAACTTAATGATTTAAACATTCTAAAATTTGTACTTAAGTTTATAATTCATTAATACGCTAATATATAACAAAGGGTTTATATTTATAAAATATTTTTAATTAATTATTTATAGATCTTTGATTTTAATGAGAATATGACACTGTTGCATGAAATTGTACACTTATCAGGATATAAGATATTTATTGGCTAACATTTATAAGACATTGATCTTTGAATTAAGTAGGGGGAAGTCCCGTAACGCCGGACAGCACCTAATACCGGACACTCTATGTAACACGTATTATTTAAGCGAGTATAATTCTTTTTATATCAAAATACAAGTAAAAGGGGTGCGGGAGGCACACAGGTGCAGGATCACCCGCCAGGGCTCACCTGTGACGAACACGGCCACGGCGGGAGCAACCCTTTGCTGTTTTAGGCGCAAAATCATGGCGTCACCTAAATATCAATGGAAGTAATTCTAGCATATTTAAGTGGTATGCAAATATAAAAGTTGTACTTGATTGTTATCCGTAAAATGGTAGAATATCATTAGATCTTTCAAACAATTTTAGTAGGTGCCACCAAATGAACGGACATGTCTGTCCCTTAGCACCGGACAATAAGTCGTCTCTTAGCGCCGGACAGTAAACATATTGATATTTCTTGTGAGAGTTGACGTAATTCATTTTAATTATTTAATTTTGTTCTGTATGAGTGCTAATGGTAACTACATACCCCCATTTTTCGTATTTCCTAGTCAAAGAATGAAAATCCTATGATGAGTGCTCCAGCTGAGAGATAAACATTTCGTTAAAATTTTTTTGATTTATTTATAAATAACCTTAGGTGTCCGGCACTCGGGGACTTCCCCCAATAGATGTTTAGAAGAATATTATAAATCGGTATATTAAATCGAACAAGGTTACATATTTAATTTTTAAACAATTTTTGTTTTGAAACGTTAACAAAATATATTGCTTTCTTCTACTACAAATATTGGGACCAATTCTCTGATGAAGTAGAAATGTACCATGGCGTTGTCATGGCAACGCTATGTTAAGGTCCAATCTTCGTATGAATTGGTATTAAAAACTTTCAAAAAGCTATGTTTTTGCTGTGCAGTCAGGCATTTTTCATATAAAACCTAACCTAGAAAAACGCACAATGTTATCGTAAGTGCATCTTTTTTCAATGTGTCCTTGATAACACATACGTGAAGTTAGGTTTTATGTGTGAAACGCCTGATCGCACAGCAAATACATAGCATTTTGACTTTTTTATTACCAATTTATATGAAGATACGATTGCAACATTTCTATTTTATCGGAGCATTGGCCCCATAGTTTGATCATATTTAAACTTAAAATACTTAAACGACGAGTATAAAGTAGCACAACCTGGAAGGTCTTCCCACGCTATCGGAAATCAAATTTTAGTTCAAAACCATTTTTTAAATTTCGAGTAAACTTATCGTATACAATCTCTAAACATGTCACATTTAACACGACGCATAATGTATAACAGTTACACTTATAGAAAAGTCCATATCAATTCAAGAAAATAGAACTCATTTCCTGCCATCTTCCATTTTATCTAATTCGACCAGTTCGTGAGGTTCCGCCAGGACTCGGTCTCGGTCGGTCGGCTTGTTCGCCAATTCTCGCCTGGACATGTGGTCGACGATGATGGTTCCGAGTGTGTCGCACATCACGTTTATCGTCGTCCTGAATCGGTCACTGGAGGAAAAAAGATTTATTAATATAATTTGTAAGGTAATTTAATTCAATATAGTTCAGTCATTATAGTAAATTCACCTCGGAATTCGAGATATCCAGCTATAAGTCTGTAAATGCTGTATATTGACACCCTAAAAGTTGTCTCAAGACCTACATATGGTACGTACACCCTACCATGTGTAAATTTTGATTTAGGGTGTCAATATACAGTATTTACAGACTTACAGCTGGGTATCACGAATTTCGAGATTCTTATCTAATTTAAGCTTAAATGACTGGACTAATAAGAAAAATAAAATTTTTGATCTGTAATGAATTGCGTGAGAATATTTATTTTTAAAAAGTATTTTTTTCTAGATATTTTTTTTCAAAGCAGTTGGAATTCAGTAGAAAATGTGTTATCTATGAACCAGTTCTCGGATAAATTAGAAATGTTATGATACTATTACGGATCTATAATCGTATGAGTTGGTGGTCACAAAAAGTCGAAAATCTGTGTATTTTTGCAATCACGCGTTTTATAAAAATACCAAACATTCAAATAACAATTTTATCATAACTGCAAATTTCTGGTGTTACTTTGATATTACATACGTAAAGTCTAACTAAATATAAATATTATTATGACGTTTTGGAGGTTATGTTTTATAGGTGAAACGCTTGATCACACAGTAAATAGATAGTTTTTTGTCAGTTTGTGACTACCAACGCATACGATTATAGACTTGTATATAACATGATCATATTTCTATTTTCTCTATTTTTTTTCTATTCTATTCTATTTTATTCGAAAACTGTTGTTATTAGCAGGAAAAACGATTAACTATATATATATAATTAATTTTATGTTTTCATGACTTTTTTGTCTATTTAAATCTAGACAAAACTCTTCCGGCAGCATTTTTTCGATAATGGTTTTACAAATTTCTTCTTTACAAAATTTTATCTTCGATAATGACTCGCTCACGTTGATTAGTTTTGCATAAAAATCGGTCGAGCCCTTTTTGTGATTTGGGCAATAATAATTTTCTAAAACTAGTGGTGCATGGCATCGTGCCTTAAGGCAAATTGCTGAAACTTTTCGTATCAATAATTAATTTTTTTTTTTATCTTTTTTTCAAAGCAATCGAGATACGTTAGCCCCGTAAAAACGAAATATCGAAGTACAGGTAAACACCGGTACAGAACCTATAGTAAACAAAATTTGTTTTTATTATTAAATTATTTATAAAATATTTGATAATTTGATGAGCATATGTCTAATGATCATTTTTGTCCGCCAAACTTCTTTACTTTTTTAATTGGATCCCTGAAACCGCTGGACCTGCCTTACCAAAACTTTCACCATGTCTTCATTTTGTCAATACAAATAAAATATATTTAAATGATTCAAATCGGACGTTCCATCCTCTGTTGGATAACCATTTTTGGCACTTTTTGCCCCGTATCTTCGGAATGGCTAGACTTGCCTTTGCCAAAAACTAATCAGCAAGTCCTTATAAAAAAAATTGAATACAAATTTGAATTATGCAAATTGGTTGATCCGTGTTCTCGAAATCGTCGATGAAAAATTGAATCCGCACATACAACACACATATGCACACACATACCTATATCAATTTTTTCTAAGGTATGCCTAAATGTTCAGAAATCTTTAAAACGTAAAGATATATAAAATTTTCATTTTCGATTTTTTTGCGATTACTATAATTTACCCTACGAGAAGTTAATCATTATAAAAATTCAAAAACTGTTCAAAATATATTATAAATATTGTTAATTGGCTGCTTAAGACGACTTTAATTGACCGCGTCTTTATAATTAGTCGAATATTGTGTCAAACAACAAAAGAGCATATTTTTGCATCTACGTTTTTTCACAAAAACCAAATCAAATTTAAATTATTTTAAGATGATTTGAAAGAAATCATTTGATTTGTATGTATTAATTTTGGGTTTGGTCATTTAAGTTTTTTTTTTAAATTTTTTTGTCACTACGTAATGATTTCAAATCTTTGTGATCAACTTAATTATTGTAGAGTTTATGTAAATTGTATCATGGCAAAATGTTTTTCAGTTAATGTTATATGTAACTTGTTATATATGATATAAAGAATTCATATGATGTCTATATTCATATGAAAACCACTTAAAACTAAATTCTAAAATATCTGTAAATATAATTCTTATCATTATCTGTTAATATAAAATTTAT